CAACGTATGTATAGTAACACTACTAAATACACACACATCCATATTTGCGATAAACACTAAGCGCCGAAACAGCATTGTTTATAATCACCGGACACTTAATACAACTTTAAGGAGGTTTTGAAAGCAACATGAATATATAAATTGAATTATTAGAATTTTCTATCAAACATTGAACTCAAATGTGATAATTAGATTTTTATCATGTAACTTCCAAAGCCCCCCCCCCCCACGCTTCCCAGTCTTAATAAGATAAATAACATCATACTTTACCCTACTTTTGTTTCACTAATAGTCTTCAACGAGTGATATAACTTTTTCAATTACTAACATCTGGTGACAGACTTCTCAATTTTGTAGAGTTGAGTCAGCTAAAGCAAAGTAAAATGAATTTATATAAGTCTTTAGACATTGGTTAAGTACAAATGCTAAATTTAACGATAATTAAACAAAAAAAAACACAAAACAGTAATCATGAGGAGAAACTACAGCAAGAAAAAACAACAACAAAAAAGTAAAATCAGTAATACGAACATATTAAAAAATGTATAATTTAAATGAAGACTGCATGTTGTTCAGAGTTGGAGAGTGCTGTTTGATGTGGAGGGTTTCTTTAATCAATAATTCCAGGTCAGTATTAGATTGGCAGAGGACAGAAAAAAATGATAGCATGGGAATTTCCATCAAAACGCAAAAAAATATTGAGTAACTCCTGTGTTTCTTCTATACGCCAACATAGTGAAGAAACAGGACATCGACCTATGCTATCCATTTTTTCTGTCCTCTGCCAACCTAATACTGACCTGGAATTATTGATTAAAGAAACCCTCCACATCAAACAGCATTCTCCAACACTATACAACATGCAGTCTTCATTTAAATTATACACCTTTTAATATGTTCGTATTACTGATTTTACTTTTTGTTGTTGTTTTTTCTTGCTGTAGTTTCTCCTCATGATTACTGTTTTGTGTTTTATTTGTTTAATTATCGTTAAATTTAGCATTTGAGTCATCTAGTGCAGCGTGTAGTGGGTCTGCGAGTCATGCCCGAAATTTCATAAAAATAAAAACTAAAAATATGATTTATAAAATTTAATATATACGAATTAAAACATTTCATTTTGGAAAACAGCTTTTCCCTCACACAGAATATTTTTTTTATCAAACCAAAAAACATCGATAGGTTTTGGGGTTCGCAAGAAAATTTTAAATTAAAAAGGGTCCTCGGATTACTAAAGTTTGAGAACCACTCGTTTAGTGTATTAGTAAAACAAAAGCAGGGCAGATTATGACGTTAATTCTTTAAAGCTGGAAAGTAAATGTGGGTGTGTATAATGTAATCGCCCCCCTCCATTCAAACACACACACACACACACACACACACACTACCTAGCTTTAAATATATAACGTCATACTTTGCCCTACTTTTGTTTTACTGATAAGTTAAAGGACTCGGCTGTACAATATTTAAGAAATCGGTCACCAGGTGGAAGTGAAAACGTTATATCACTTACTGAAAACTTACACTTTCCTTGTTGATATTGTGGAAGGAACGTCGGCAAGAGAAGTGAGTGACACGAGGGATAGTCAGTAAGTAGCATCATCGACTATTTACAAAATGCTTAAGGTACTCAAGCTCCTAGAGAAACAGCTAAGATTGTTGTCCATGATTGTTTCTTTATTACTTTAAGTAGGAATGATCCAGAGTTTTAAAACTTTCTAGTTTATTGACTAATGACTGCTGTAGACTAATTACTCCAACTTTTAAGTTTGTTGAACCACAACACGTATTAAGTTTTAGTAATCTATTCGTAGTTGAACTAAAGTAATAAGTCCCTTTAAAGTAGTTCGATTTAAGCCTCTTACTACCGGCTGGGTGGATTAATGAAGAAGAGGTAGGGAAGGAATTGAAACTGAAATTTTGTAAATATAATGCTTATTTAACAAGAAACTTAATGCAGTATTAATCTGTTCAAGAATTATTTGTTAACAACTTTTTGAAATAGTAGCTTTAGCATGTTCTTTACGTGTTATATTTCTGTAGTAGACAATTAGTATTACACTTATGAGTCGGTGATGTGAGTGTTTAATTGGCACAAGGTATTGAGCGGTATGTAACCCAGATTTTCCTAACACCACTCAGACTTTTGTAGCACGTGTATTGTGACATATTCGAACGTGACCTGATCCGGGAAGTGAACATGTTCTCTTTTTTTAAATTCTCTCTCTATTTCATTGTCACAACTCACAAAAAGGAAGAATAAGCACCGGGATGATTAATAACACAAATCGGGAAAGAAAAATCAATTTTCTTTATCGATACAACCTACTCCAGAAAATACACTTGCTAAATTATATGGTCTAAAATAATCTGTTTGTTTTTAGTAATGTTTCAGTATGCTTGTTTACGTGTTATATTTCTGTTATAGTATAGGTAGTATTATTATTATTAGCCAGTTAAGTGCGTGTTTCTTTGGCACAAGGCATTGACCGGTGTATAGTTTTAAGATTTACCTAAAACCACTCAAGGCACGTATTTTGTGTTAATATTCGAACGAGATCTGGTTCCGTAAGTAGACATGTTCTGTGTTATTTTTGTTATCAATGACACGACTCAAAAAATGAATATGTACCGTGATTGTTGACAACACGACTCAGGAAAGAAAACATGCTAGAAAATACACGTCGGCCTTTATTGCTATATGATATGATCTAAAACCTATTTCTTTTTAGTAATGCTTCAAGAAAGCTTTTTTTTTCATTAAAGTTCGTATTGTTGTTATGACTGCAATGTTTAGTGTGATTTTAGAACCAGTACGTAATTAGAATAATTGTTTAATTACAATCGGAGATCGAAGTGTAGAAAGATCTCTGCGGGTTATAAGGCTGAATGCACTATTTTATGTATATATATATCCCGGTCCTTGCGCAGGTAAGTGATTCGTGTATTGGGATGGGGATTGTAAGGTCCAAGGTCCGAGCCGTAATATATAGCTAAACATCATCTTCACTTTTTACTGTTGGGGTCTTGTAACCTTGACGACATTCCTTCCATTCGGTTAAGATGGGGTTGCTCACTAGTCGACTGACTTTCTTCTGGTCAGTATCTCTACATTAGGTATGTTATAACTGAACGTAAAATCTCTGTACTGACCATTTAGCTCGTAAGGTGCCGTTCAGTTTGAAATAGCAAGTTCGCTTAGGAATGGGTTGTTGATAATAATGATGATTGTTTTAATGTTTGGAATCCGTTTCTTAAAATCTGTACCAATTACCAAGTACTTATTCATTGTTTATTTTATCGTCTGATTACTAAACTGTTTAGAGTTTCTGAGCAAAACATTTTTAATTTGAAATAAGACAAATGAAAAAAGCAACTTCTAAAAATATCCATTCAAAAAGTGTTTCTCAAATTTTGTTTTGTAATATTGCTCTCAGTCTAATGACTTACATAATTTTATAACAACTTTGTTTGTAAAAAATCTGGAAAAGTTCAGGTATTGTCGACAATTGTGCTCAATAAAAAATCTTCAACTGTCTGTATCGTAGCCGATCTGTTATGAGAGTTTTTTCTGCATTGTGACTTCTCCTCCTCTTTTTATTTTTCTGTATTGCGACTTCTCCTCCTCTTCTTCTTTTTTTCTGCATTGCGACTTCTCCTCATCCTTTTATTTTTCTGCATTGTGACTTCTCCTCTTCCTCTTCTTTTCATTTTTCTGCATTGTGACTTCTCCTCTTCCTCTCTTTTCATTTTTCTGCATTGTGACTTCTCCTCTTCCTCTTCTTTTCATTTTTCTGCATTGTGACTTCTCCTCCTCCTCTTTTCATTTTTCTGCATTGTGACTTCTTCTCCTCCTCCTCTTCTTTTCATTTTTCTGCATTGTGACTTCTCTCCATCTTTTCATTTTTCTGCATTGTGACTTCTCCTCCTCCTCCTCTTTTTATTTTTCTGCATTGTGACTTTTCCTCGTCCTCCTCTTTTTATTTTTCTGCATTGTGACTTCTCTTCCTCCTCCTCTTTATATTTTTCTGCATTGCGACTTCTCCTCCACCTACTTTTTTTTCTGTACTGGTTGATAATTTCCCTCCAAGAAAACGCTTGTGTATTTTCATCTTTGAAAAAAAAACCTGCTAAATCGTATTCTTAAGTTTTTCAATTCGTATATAAGGAGTTAGAGAAACAATGTTTAATGTCATTTCATTTTTTAAGAATTCCACATACTGCTTGTCTACACAAACAAAATGTAGTTACTCAACATCCTTTTTTTTCTTCAGAATTTAAAATTTTTGTTCAAAATTTAAGCGAAAATGCACGAGATATAACTGGTTAATAATTTAATAATTCAACACTTTTTGAATCAAAGACTGTAAATAAATGCTCATAAAATTTAGTAATTGGGAAGAAATGAGAGTGTCATTATTTTTAAATTAAATATAATAAGGGAAGTAGAAATAAAATTTTTGGTGTGTTGTATTTTTATAAAATAGTAACGTAGATTAGTACCTAAACATCTGTAGATTATTATCATTGTATTTACAAGACGATTCTTGTCAAAAAAATCTTGTTTTGGAAAAAAATGTACCAAAACAAAAGAACAATTAAGAGTGTATTTACACAACTTATTTTTCATTTGTAAAGAAGTTCTCTACATTTCTCTAACACTCTACTAATCTCTCATAAGCTAGAATCATTTCTAACAATCTCATGCAATAAAACCAACTTTATAAATATTTTACATTCAAGGGCTATTCCTACCCATGTGTCGCGTGTGTAGAATTTCTCTGCTCACATGTGAAGACTATCCCTATTGAGTATACAAATTTCTCGTTTGCTTGGAATAGGTTTCTCATATGCTAGATCTTTTTATATTCTACTTTCGCGCGCTAGAAATATTTCTACTATTCTCTTATGTTGGAGCTTTTTATCTTTATCCGTCAGAGTTGGAGTCAGGAATTGCAAAGTAGAGGTTCTTGGCTAGACATGCAGGCAGATTTTACAATGAGAGAGAAGATATAAGGAGCTGCTTAAAGCAACTTTTGTGCTGCTAAAGGCAACTCAATCTAAAGGGGTCTGGGGGCAAGCCTCCCCAGAAAATTAAAACAATATTATAACTTACAGTTGCTATACAAGTCAAGTATGTATAGCACCCCCGGCTACGACGCCTCTAATCAAAATACTTCAAGCGGAAAAAGTCAACAAATACCCGCTTAAAGCATGATGTAAGTTTTGATTTACCACTGATTTTATGTATTTTCCATTGTGTATGTTCCACCTTTTCGTAATACATTATTCATAAAACATACGAAATCTATTTGCAAGTCGGCTTTTACGTTCTAGATCTGTCACTGTTTTTACATTGTATTTTTATCTGATTCTTTAGAGGTTTTTACAAAAAGTGAAAGATTAAATTTGATTTCACAATGTATTATTACTTATATTTGTATGATATTTATAAAAGTGTTTATCCACGATACGTAAACTTTGACCCCAAAAGAATTTTTGTGGGACTTTCGAATGTAGCATGTATACTAAAGTGGAATGACGAATGTTACCAGGTAGCCACGTGTCAGCTTCTTGTCGAATGTACGCCTGAAACAATGCCCCGAGAAACGAAATGTGTTGGAAAATGAAAAGGATGAAAGAAATATAAAACTTATTTAAATATGTTTCATATTCTTAGACGTTTTTGAATATTACGTTTTCTTTTTTATAAAATCTATTGTTATCCATACAATCATATGTTGTTAAGAGTTGATGTGAACTTACCTAATTATTTAAAAACGATAATGTTTACAAACTACAAGTTACTGTTAATTTATGAGATAAAAACTTAGAGATTACATACATAAGGACAAAGGTTGTTCCGTTTTGAATTTTTTCTTTGAAATAGCATTTACTTACAAGCAAGTTGAAAGTAAAATCAATTTCAATATACAAGACTGTTACGGCATCAATTTCATATTATAATTTAGGAACACACTTTCCAAAGATATGCAAATAGCGAACAGTCAGTGTTTGTATTCGTACTAGTGTTTTTT